AGGGAAAGATGTCACATCTGGGCAGACTGAGATTTATCAGAAGACATTTTGCTGTGCTACTTGAGAGATACTATAACAAAGTGTTGGTGCTGTTGAATTGTAGGATTCCAGCTGTTCAGTTAACCAGTATATGGATATGAGGAAATGAACAGTCATAGGAACAGTGCTTCCACATATTGCATTCTGTGCTGGCATTGTTTCTCCCCATATCCAACTGGAATATTCAACCCTCTACAATGCTTTTAGTTGTATAGTAATAATAATAATTTTAGAATCATTTTAGGAGCATTTTCTTTTATCCCATGATCTTTTGATTTAAAAAAATAAATTTAGAGACTTTATGTCATTTAAGGTCACTGCAGAAAAATTGAACTGAGCAGATCAGGTAAGAATGAAAACCCACATGATTTGCTGTTGTTATCAATAGAAATCAATTTATCCTCAATGCTCAGACATGACATTTTTGACACATGTAAAAAGATATTTCCTAGGTCGAGGAAAGTAAGGTAATTAAAGTTTGCTTTGTATTCCTTATCACATAATGTAAATCTAAAAGATTCAGAAAGCAAGTCAGAATATATTTCTTCATGACATTTCAAATGATGTAATAAATGTTGATGACAGAAATTTCACAGAGCTTGAAGACTGTAGTTTATTTTCAATGAACACTTGTTCATATTACCATCTAGGGTCTCAAACCTTCTACTCATGTTTGCAGCATATTTCTTTTCTTTCAGGCAGTGGAAGCTATTCATGTCTTAGCATGACACTTTTTCTCCTGGTGAGCACGTTCTCATGAATATAAACTCAAAACATTTCACTATTTTGGTTTCCAGCATCTGTAATTTGTTGTCAGAAAGCTGTTTATGATAGCATATATGAAGGAGGCATCTGTAGTAAAACTGCATGCAAAAGTTAAGCACAGAAATTTTGTACTACAACTACACAGACAGATTGAACATAGAAATGTATGCACATTTCTGTGTTTGCAGTTAAGTCTTCTGGAACAAACAAACCCTAATACAAACAAAACCAAAATGAAACAAACAAAACCACAAATAAAACAAACAAACAAAACCAAAACAAAACAAAAGACAAAAACAAGACGCAGTCAAACTTTCTGATTTATCTCATGGCAGAAAAATAAAGTTTACATTTGAAATGAGAAGCAAATAAATATGAAGATAATAAAATTCAATGCTCTTCTTTGACTGCATCTTTAAAACAGTAAGCTAACTGTATGTTCAGAGTGGTACTCTGGATAATCACTTCACATGATTCATGGACTAATCTGATTGTCCACTAGGATCATTAAAAACATCCTGCCTTTCTCTCATTTACATCATGGATATGTGCCCAACTGGCCACTGCTGGAGTCAAGATAGCAGACACCATTAACCCTAATGGTCTGATCTGCTGAGGCGAGTTCCTCATTTCTATTTATGACTTCTCTGTACTGTAGAAAACCACTTGTGTTTTACAACCTACAGAGGAGAGGAAAAGGAAGAGAGAAGAAATTTGACTTCGGATATCCCCTTTAACATTTTTCATCAAAAGAATAGATAAAATATTTATTCAGCTACTGTCCTTTGCATTCCCATCAAAGTGAATAGAGAGGCATTTAATAACACATGGAAACATTAAAGAAGCTTTTTATTAGAGTGGATGGGAACCTGCTCAGAACAAACATTCTGGCCTAAGGGAAAGTTTTTGATCTGTGAAGCTTAAGCTTTTGGTGCTTAAAACACTCTCATATTGGATCATGTGGTCAATTTGCATGAAATAAATGATTTGCTTAAAACTTGTAAAACTGTAAAATAGAACTTGACAAGTCATTAGCAATAAGTGGTATCGCACTGGCATTATACTAACACTAGTGCAATCATTAGAAAACTGCTGCTACAGCAAAGAACGAGAGGATAATAGAGCCAGCCTAAACTTCGACCTTGAGGTGTTAGATCTCTGCCTCACATAGTAGCTACCACACTGCAGTCTGGATTATTGACTCTCCTTCATTCTGAGTCACCGCCCTTCACCTTTCACCCAAAGCAATTAATCCAAGTTACAAAATATGTCATTTCATCCACCAAGCGATAGGTGATTTTTTTTAGGCAAAACCAAAAAAACAAATAAAAAAAGAACTAAACTTTAGTCAAGGACTCTAATTAAACCTAGCAGAAAGAATAAGATTATTGAATCATTCTTCATTAATTTTTACATTGTTTTTGTTTTCATTCCGAATTAGGAATTCAATTAATGAAGTTTCTGTGTGTTGACAGACATTATGGATGTAACTTTTCTATTCAAGTTGGCAAGAAATGACATTCAGCATCTTGTTAGCTCAGTTTGCAATTTCAAGATTTTTTTTTTTAAGACATAAAGGGTTTGGAAAATCATAGCCAGACATCTGCATTTCTGAAGTTTGTTTAATGTTCATTTTAAGGCTAAGGTTATTCTTCAATGAGATTGGCAAATACCCATTTGTCATTATTACCAAGACAGGAAATACATATAAAAGCTAAGATTTTTACCATTTGTTGCACAGGACCTTCAATACATTGATTTTGTCAATGTGTCAAGATTTTGTCAGTGGTTCAGTTAAATGAGTCAAGATTGAGAGGCTCTGTGTGTGATATTTTATAGAAATTATCAGATGAAGTAAAATCCATGCTTGCAGATTATTTGCCTACTGTCATATATATGCTGATAAAATGCAATAACTTTAAGACCATGGTGATCAGATCCCACTGCTTTCTTCAGAAGGTGTTTTTCTCATGTCTTCCCTATATGTATACATACCTTTGTAAAATGAGGCGGGTGAGTATCATGCTGCAGTTTTCAAGTCTCATTAAGATCTTAACTTCTGAGTCTGTCACCAAGCATGAGGCATGGCGTTGAGCTTCTGATGTGGAGCTGGAGCTGAGATTTAACAGCCTGATTGCATGTGAACTCCTGTGCAGTGAATGTATGCTGGTGTATATAACGAAATCAATATTATATTTAGCTACTTAATCTTATTTCACATGTTACAATAAATTGTGCTTTACAAATGACATTGACTTGATAGCTACTGAGCATAAATGTTAGAGAAATTAAAAGGAAATAAGGAGATTTGAAACAGGTGTTATAAACCAGAAATGAAGCATAAGTACTATAGGAGTGCAATAGATATGTTTGTGAACCTTTGGGGAAATAAAGTGAAAAATATTTTGGATAAAACATAGCATCTGCACATAAACTAAGACAGTACAGAAAGTCCCAGTTCAATACGACAAAAGAGTACAGTGCAGTACGAGAGAATAGAGGTGTTTCAGTCAGCAGCTGGAATCAGAATCTCATCATTGTTTACAGCGCATGACCTGCTTGGTATTGGCTAATTAGCATAGGATAAGAATCTCTCTTAAGGGTGAAAAATATAATTTTTACTGGTGTTACAAGAAGTTCTTAATAAGTGTACTTGACGGAACAACTGAAGATCATTTGTTTGACAGAAGAAAATAAGCTTTTACTGTAGAAGAGGCATCATGAATATGTAACCTTATTACAACAATATTATTCTTCAGATTTTTTTGCAGTCTAATGAAGAAAAATAGAACTATAAGCATTTCAGCATATGCTTCAGTAACTTGGACTTCATTGATTTCTCCTAAAAATAAATTCCTTTATATGTTGAGAAATACGTTTCCTTTCTATGGCATCTGGAAAATAATAGCTTTTATGCACACTGTAATGCTTTAAAACCCAACATTTCTGAAGGGAGCTCCCAGTGAATATGCTCATCCTATTAGTGAATAAATTTTCTATGCTTTTTAACCTGTATACTTATGTGCAGGACATAAGGAAATGGTACCACCTCGTCTTCTTCTAGAACACAGTCCAAGAAAGAAATCAGCAGCTATTGAAGGCAAGTTTGATTTTTTTACTTCTTTTATTGGCTTCTACTAAATCACCTAACTCTCTGTTCTAATGTATTTTGTTTATAACTATTACTTGTATTCCAAAACTGAACAAATGATTAGATATGGGACATGAATGGCACAATCATATTTTCATGAAAAGACCTAAATATTTTTTATAATAATCACACAGGTGGCCCAGGGGATTTCCCAAGTTAAACAGATTACAGAATCAAGGCCCAGTCTGTAAAATGGTTTGGCTGATGTTCAGCCATAAGCTGCCATCTAACTGTAAAAATAATCAACATTATCCTCTTAATATACTTTAGATTACTCTTTTCCCTATTGTTATACAGTAATGTTTCTGTATATGATCTGTAAAAACAAATATTTCTGTCTCTGCCATTTTCAACCCTACTCCTATTATTAAAACCACTGAAAGAGAAATACAGTCAAATCTTAACTTTCAGAAGATTAAAACACAACATCTGCAATTGGATTATATTGTTTATAGTCTAATTGTATCAGTAAAATGGTTGAAATATGCATTTTAGTTTTAATATGTACTATGTCTGATAATTTAGTACTACTACTGCAATATATTTTCTTGGTCTCTGCACTGTACAATTTAACAGTACAAAACACATGAGTCTGTTCATGTAATTATATAGCTGTTCAGAATCATTGAGTCACACCATGGCACTTGCTAATCTCTTTCACAGAGGTCTTAGCTCTATGTTATCCAGAAAGCAATTGCAATCTAAGAGGAAAAAAAAAAAAAAAGATAGGATGGCAGCTGAATAAGTAGCACGAGATACAACGTTTGCCTGCATTTGCAAACAGAAAATGAAAGTTAGATTTTGGCAGAATATATGACTAAACCAGAGTTAAATTAATCAGATAGTTCTGTAATTTAATTATGTGAATTGAAACATTTGGATAAAAAATATTTACGAGACATTATCTCTTGCCCCAAAAATCTCTTTTATGTCAAATGAATATTTCTTTATAAACATATAGAAAAGATATTTATAAAGGAGTATAAAACTGTGGTTATCATGACACAATATAGTATATAAATAGATTTTACTCATGCTTATTGTAAGAAAATGTTTAAACACTGCTTAACAGCAAAAAGATGTCCCTGCAATGTTAAACACAGTCATCCACTAATTAACCACAATGGAAAAAAGATATACTAGGAAAAGACTGCTGCATTTGCTGTGTGAGAAACTTACTCTTTAATACAACTGTTATACAACGTGAACTAGCATCAAATTAAGTTCTTGATTTTCTAAATCATGAGGAGCATGCAATTACTGAAATTGCACATGGAAATTACTGTTTATGACCAGTTACACATTTATGTGTTTCATTAGCTCGTTTATGCATGCAATTGAGGTAATTATGAATTTAAACTAGACACCCATTTGGCAAACAAATTGGGGGGCAGATTATCTGCTCAGAATGATACAACTAAATTCCCTTTAAGGCTCAAGGCCAGTCACTAGGATACAATACTGTTCATACAAGAGTTCCAGAACAAATGAAGGATGAATTACTCACAAAACGCTGCTGTGAAAAGCTGTTACATTGCACTATTGTAGGGTTTCCATATATGAGAAAACATGCCACAGTACATATTTAGGAAGCCTAAACCTTGAAGCTTTATTTCAGCTGTGAGAAAAATAACTAAGTAATTTATGGGAATATTTGGCACAAGGTCAGAAGGAAAAAAGAGGAGCAGGCAGAGAAATTTAAATATTTTAAACAGATGAAGAGATATCTGTCTGTGACTTCTTAATGTTTACATACATTTATGACTTGTACACGATTAAATATCACTGATCAGATGAAGGTAAATATTGAAACAAAATATTCTTCTTGTCCTACATATAATTGAAGATAGAATAATAAGTTCTCAGAACAGGGAACAAGTGATTTGTTATATGTACTTTATATAACATGGAAGGACTGGCTCAGCCTTTGAGAGAAGCAACCAGCTCTGGAAAAAAAAGGTAAAATCATAGGAAGTAACAGAACTGTTGTCACAGAAAATTGATGAAACTAGTCTATTTAGACCCTACACTTTCCAACTCAGTGATATTCAGACTCTAGGTACAAAACCATGCAACTGGTAAAGATTGAAGAGAATTTACTCTTTTTCTAGATTGAGATGTTTCCACTGTTGCCCCTTTTTGCCACTGCTGCCTTAGAGGTTCTTGGACCACTCTTGATTTCTCATAAGGTGAATATACTGGCAGTATACCTCCAGATGTCTCTAACATTTTCAGATTATTTGATACCTTCAAATATAAAACTTTTCCTGGATAATATCCAATGCCCATTAGAAACTATGCTCTGCTGAATTCATGAGGTCTTAGAAAAAAACATCATGTTGTTATTATGTACTAAAGCTCAACCTTTCTCTCCTTGTCATTGCCATTTTTCTCTTCCTTCACCTGCACAGTAAATCTTTTGGAAAAGGCGTCATTATATAACGACAATCCCAATTTGCACACTCTGTTCCAGTATTATGCAATAAATTGCATTGAAATGTGCGTATGTGAATTGAAATTTTCAGATATGTCCTGGTAGGAAAGTAAAATGTCTTGTACTCGTCTCATCAGAAAGAAAAAGAATAGATCATAATGGTCTTATTTCATGACAACTTGGCTCTTTTCAAAAAAACATTGCTGTCTTCAGATATGCTCAAAATTCAATGAAGAGTTTGAAGTTTCAGGTCACCAACAGAAGGGAATAACAAAAAACCCCAAAAGATCCTGTAACAGTAAACAAGAGAAAGAGGGAAAGGGAATCTCTGAAGAGAAGGGCTTTGATACATAACTCCTACTTGTGTTTCAATCTTGGAAACTTTACTTGGCAAAACATGAAAAAAAATAAGTCCTTTTAAATGACATATTTCTAAAGGACTTTTTAAAAATCCTTATCTTTTTTCTGGAGCTTTCACAAGGGCTTGGAAGCAGCAGTCTCAGCTTGGCTGACACTCTGATGCTGTCATCCAGGGAGGACACTAGTTCTGGCTGTGATTTGAAGAGATCTGTTCTCCATAACTATCTGAACTTTGACTTTAATATTTTCTTCCTTGATGGTAGACTTCTCCATCTTTTCTAACTGTCCTCTTTGTTATCCACTGACCTCCTAAAACTGCTCTGCAACATATATTGATTTTCTGGATGAAATTCTCTTCAGTTTTCTCAGAATCTCTCTGAGTTCCTGACTTTTTGGCTCAGCTCACACAGCTTTTAGCTTCATCCATTTCCCCATTCACCTGAGAAGGGCTCTCCCTTCTCATAGTCCTCCCATATTAAGCACTCTGACATAGAAAGGGTAATCTCTTGGGGAAATGCTTCAGCCAGAAACAAGAAATGTGAAAAACAAGCTCAAAGGCTTAGTTAGTTATTAGTAAGGATTCGTATGAATTTTTACAGAGTAGCATGTGCTTTTCTTCCTCAAAAGATTGTAGCACCTTTGTCAGAAGCCTGTATCAAAATCCTTCTCTGAGTGGAAGGCATGTTAATACATATTATATACAGTCTCAAACAGACAGTATACTTCGTACCTCTTTGAAAAGCATTGTATCACACACAAAAAAAAAAAAAAAACCAACCAAAAAACAAAACAAAACAAAAAAAACCCACGCCTTGAACAGCATTTTATCTGAGTATGATTTTTCCAGGTTATGTTGTCCTAGATATCTATGCTTATATCTTTGAGTGGGAAAGCAATTATCACAAAAGAGTCATCAACATAACTGTTCTGGTCTGTTAATTGATTGTAATGGGTTCTGAAATATTCCCTTCCTTTGACTGAAGCATGCTGGCTGTTCTTTGTCATCTTGCTGGCATTTGTGCTATTAAATGAGTTAAAACAAGAAAAAATTTAAATCTCTGTAATGACTTCAGAAAATAATAAAAAAAAATTTGAGATCACTGGCTTGAATCCTCTAATTACAGAATTTGCAGAATGAAGTAAAGCAAGTTGCTGTGAAGTATGTAACTTCCTCCAAAACTCCTGCAGAGGCTAAATTGGTATTGAAATATAAATCTGCAGCTATCTTTATTGCTCTATAGAGTGTACACTATCCGATTGTCTTAGAAAGAATTTCTAGCCTGTACCTCAGTTCATGAGTATAACACTGGGGGATATAACCAGGGGTATCTAAATTACTAAAGCAAATACAAATTTTGACAAAGCTCCTTTGATGTATGGAAGTGTATAAATCTTGTTCAAATCAATCTGCCTCTGTACAGTCTGTCAGTGGCTGCTTTCTCTTCTGTACACAGATTGTTCTATAAAAAAACTTTTTTATTTTGTACAATAAAATAAATTACCCTTCAAAAATATCCTTCTAGTGAAGGACAGTAATTTAAGATACAACAGAAACCTTTCCAAAATGCAGAATTTTTAAGAAATCTAGAACATTTTTTAATAATACTGATATGATTTGTTAATGAAAATCCATTTTCTGATAAATTTTAATCCAAATAATAATTAAAAAAAAAAAAAAAGAAATATCATGATACAATGGACTACGTTTTAACCTAGGTTATTAGAAGAAACAATTTAGGTAGCCTCAGCAGGTTTACTGAATATAAATCAAATCTATTTCAGAAATATGTTGCTTACGTCTCCATGAGTCTGTACTGATAATAGTAACAACTAATATGCACAATGTTTCAAAGTGAGTTATTTAATGATTTAGATTAGGCATAGAATCAGTAAACTCTAATGATTTAGCTATGATGGAAAAAAACTAAATCTTCACAGTTTCTGAAAGCCCTTGACATGAATTACTGAATGACGTGGCATTTCTGTACTACTTTTATTCTAGCATAAGACAGAAAAAAAAAATGAACTGATACTGGGGAAAAAACTTACTAGAATGTATAAAAACTATGTACACATATATATATTTGATTAGACATATTACTATCTTTTATTATTATTAAAAATGATTCAATATACAATACTAGATTGTGCATTT